CGGCGTTAGCAGCCAGTATGAAAGCCTGGAGCACATGACACTCACCTGCTCGTCCAAGGTCTGCTCCTTTGGCAAGCAGGTGGTGGAGAAGGTGGAGGTGAGGCCAGAAGGGAGCTCCGCATGGGGGTGTGCGTGGAGGGGAGTGACCCAGCCTCTGTGGGGAATTAGTGCATGGGTTTGTAGCTAATGTGGAATTTAAAAGTCATAGACAGACCTGTAACATGTGCTACAGAGATTTAGAGTCACTAAGATTCCCTAGGTTTGGGACCAACGGATGGCATAATGGTTACGTTGCTGGACTCCCATGTAGTTGATCGTGCTTCAAGTCTCAAACCTGATGGCTTGAAACTCACGCCGAGCGCGTGTGTGTGCGTGCCCAAGATCCCGAGAGGAGAATGGAGGAGAAGGGATTGCGGTGTGGCCATCCCCCCAGGGGGATGATTTCTCGCTTTCTGTCTCTTTATCTCTCTGGCGAGCACATGCGCCCTATAGCAAAAATCTCACTCAAGAACAACGGTTCACTAGGTTCTTACAGGAGTATGTTGGGGAAGGAGCTTCAGAAGTCACACTCACGAGTAGCGGGGGACATGGGGGGGCCTAGAGTTCGGAGGTCATGTCGAATTTGAAGATGTTACAGAGATCTTTGGAGACTAGCTGAGGGCCCGGAGGTCCCTAGGGGTGCAGAGCATCACTCCGAGGTGCTGAAGTGGTCTCTGTTTTGCAGCCTCACATCCTGAGCAGGTTACCCAAGGATGCAGGGCCTGTTTCTGGTGGCGGGTGGGGTGATGATGGAAGACGGTCGTGGGAGTATGTGGCATCTGAGGGGCAGGGGGTCAGACTCAGTTCCTGGGGTGACCCGTGTGTCTCTCAGCCACTGTCCTGCTCCCTGCCCCTGTGGTTCAGACGGAGCGGGCCCAGCTGGAAGACGGGAGGTTCGTGTACCGCCTGCTGCGCTCGCCCATGTGCGAGTACCTGGTGAACTTCTTGCACAAGCTGCGGCAGCTGCCCGAGCGGTACATGATGAACAGCGTCCTGGAGAACTTCACCATCCTGCAGGTGCGCGGGCTGGCCGGAGCAGGGCCCCACCATGCAGGGCATGCCGCTCAGGCCCTGAGTCGAGGAACCCCTTCTGCTGGGCGGCTGTGAGGACCACAGTGAGCCCTCAGTATGTGACTTTTTTAACTAGGAAGGTGATGCACTGGGGACCTCACAGTCGACCTTCGCTTAGGGAACCCTTTATCCAGGGGACTGATGCTGTGAGACTTCTGAGCACTTTCACATATGGGGATCCTTCCTGCACTGGGGCATCCCAGAAAGGCTGCCCTGAGCTTAGGGAACCTGTTGTGGTAGGGACCTCTCTGAGCTTGGCGAATGCAACGGTGCAGACCTTGGACTGGGGAACCTGAAGTGATGCTCCTCTGAGGCATGGTGGGGACCCAATGTGATGGGGGACCGTCTGATGTCTCTTAGTTAGGGGTCGCCCCCACTGTCCAGGGAGCCTGATATGTGCTTGAGGGTGGCAGGGACCCTTTCCTTGGAGATGGCCTGCTGGGTGTGCCCTGATAGGCGGGGGGGGGGGTGCAGTGTTCTCTGCCCTCCTGCTGAGCCTTAACCCCTCTGGCCTCCCTGGCAGGTGGTGACAAACAGAGACACCCAGGAGCTGCTGCTCTGCACCGCCTACGTCTTCGAGGTCTCCACCAGCGAGCGGGGGGCCCAGCACCACATTTACCGCCTGGTCAGGGACTGAACAGGGACCCCAGAGCCAGCTGGCCCCTGGGATACCCTCCTCCTGGGAAGAACCTTCCAGCTGTCCTCCGGCGCCTTATTTGGGGAGGGAGCTGTGATGAAAAGGGCTGACCTTGGAGGCCTTAGCAACCTGGGTTGTCCCGTGTTAGAGGGGACACCACGACCTGTGGGTGAACCGAATGGGCTAGGATTGAGGAAAGGATGGACCCTGATATGGGGACCTCGTGGGGGGTGTCTGAAAAGACAGCTTATTCCAGAGCCTGCAGGATGGGGACAGGAGTGACAGCCCCAGGTGCAGCACTGGCACAGCCTCTGACAGCCACCCCCAATTACACATTGGCTTGACCCCCTTCCTGTTTTCCACCTCCCAACCTGCCACTCCCTGCCGCCCCCACTTCTTCACCTCTGATATCAGAAATTGATGCCGAACGCTTTCTGTGCAGGAGCAGAGCCAGGTGGGCCCTGGGATTTTTTTTTAATATAATGAGATATTTATACGTGAGTGTTAGGGCTGTGACGTTATCTCATCTGGGCAAGCAAGGGGGTGAGGCCTTCCCGTCTTGTCCCCCCTCTCAATGAGCCTCTTCCCCCTTCCCAAAGTGTGTTGGTTTGTGTTCTGACAGAGATAAAGCTATTTTACCAAACTGCAGGGGATTTATTTGAGGTTTGGGTGAAAAATAATCTTGTGGGAAGTGGTAGACCAACTGGGGACAGAAAGCCCCAGGTCCCAAGGGAGAGGTGACAGCAGCAGAGCCGGAAGACACCTGCATCCCCAGGGGAATGAAGCTCCATGCCTGGGGCGAACTGGGCATTAAGCAAATATTTACAAGTGGCAGAGAAGTGCCGGGGGCACTTGACAGGGCTGAGGCTTTGGGCAGGGTGGGGCCTAGCGGTAACGAGCGAGCTGGTCGGAGACGCGGTCCAGGTTTCTGCACAGGAAGATGGAGAGCGTCATGAAGCCGAGCTATAGAGAAAGAAGACGCGGTCAGAGACATCGGTCGGCGGCGGCGACTACAAGGGTGGAGGGCGGGGCTGCGGGAGAAAAGCCCAGGGGTAGGACCTCTCTGGACCTCTTTGGAGCTGGAGAATGTGGTGGAGAGGGTTAAGGGTAATGGTAAGGACGGGAACAGATGGGGGAGGGAAATTAGCTGCATTAGGCGGGGAGCCAGGGTCAGGTCAGGGTAGAGAGGTGAGAACAGTAATGTCAGAAGCAAGCCCAGGGTCCTTTATTCCGGAGCTTCATCTGTCTCTCCCTCCGCTTCTGCCTCGACCTCCACCTGTGCGCCCACGCTCGCGGGCTGCTCCTCGTCTTGATCCCAAAGCACCCAGGGTCCCAGCCCCATGGGCAGCTTGCCCTGTGGAGCCTTGTCCCCCCAGCTGGGGCAGGCACCTGCCATGCCCCTGCTACCCCACAGATTGCCGCTACGCCCGCTGCTGCTAAGCACTCCGCAGCGCCCGCCACCGCCGTCAGCGCTCAGGCTGGGCCCGAGGCTCGAACCGTAGGTGTCTAGCACTTGAAGCTCAGGTTCCCGGCGGATGGCCCTCCGCTGTAGCTGCAGGCTCAGAGCCATTAAACTCACCTGCGGGAAAGGGAAGGGCTTTTACCGCCAAAAGGAGGCTTTCCCTTCGTACAGCCAATCAGGGCCCACAGAAGCTTGGTCTCGCCCCTCCCCTTGCCCTAGGTGGAGCTGCGGGGAAGGAGAGGCTGGCCCCCCGCGTCTTTCCAGACACTCGGAGGACGCGCATTAAAGGCGGGGCCTCTGCGGGTTGCGGGGCAAGCGCGAGTGGGGGCGGGACCGGATCACCTCGAGTAGTCCGACTCCCAGACAGATGCCCACTATGGAGATGAGGTTGTTCTGCAACCACTTCTGAAGGTTCTTCCCGCAGCCCTGGGGGAGAAGGAAGGGTTAAAGCCCCCAAGCTCAGACCTAGACACCAACCTGCTCCCTCGCCACCAGAGTTCTTTAGTCTCCTCGATGCTGGGCCGCCGCCTCTCCCTTATAGACTTGTCTTTCTCTAGATGTCTGTGTTCTGTGTCCAGCTGGCCTTTTCTTTAGGCTCCGCCCATGATATAGGACCCCCCCCACACACACACCCCATTTTTAGTTTGTTTCGTCTATGAACGAGACGGGACAGCGCCCGCAACAAGATCCCGTTGCAGCGACCCTCCCCCAGGCCTCAGCCGAGGCAGATCCCGGGCAAGCGTGTGCCCCCAGTACTCTGGGAGGTCTCGGGACTGCCTCGTACGTAGTGTTAACACTGCGCCACCGTGAGACCCTGCCCACTTTATGGAGGGTTCCGCCCCTCCGTTCTACTGTTCCCTTTCGCCTAGTCCCGCTCTTGCGGGTCTCTGACTGCGCCAATCTCTGCGGCCCCGCCCACACAGGCCCCGCCCCTCGCCGCGGCCCCGCCCACGCGGGCGGGCGCCGCTGCGGCCCCTGCGCACCTCGGGGTAGATGTGGCTTTTCGCAGAGACGGCGCAGAGGTCTGTGTTGTGTCTGGGACGCGCTAGCGGTCCAAGTCGGCTGAGTTGGGGGAAGATCTTTTCAAAGGTCGCAGAGTCGTTGGCTGCCGACGAGTTGTAGCAGGAGCAGGGTACGCGGTGCAACTCCGAGTCGTTGCTTCTCAGGACGAGGACCTGGAACCAGTCCTGCGGAGACTGCCAGCCGCAGCAGCGCAGCTGGGACAGGCAGATCAGTCAGAGGGACCAGGACTGGAGAGACGCAAGATGGGGTTGAGGATCAGGGAACTAGGTGACGGCTATGAGGACATGTCGAAGGGCAGGGGGCTGAGTGGTGGATGCATGGACCGAGCTGGGGTCGTGTGGGGCCAGGGTCGCGATGGGGCCAGGGCCAGGAGACTTTGCAGGAACACGGGATTGAGAGAGGCACGAGTCGCGCAGTGACCTGGAGCTCCGGAGGAGAGCAGCACCAGCGGGGGCCCGAGATTGGGTGCGTGGCCCAATTCGAGCTCAGGTAGGCGACAGATGGCTGGGAGTGCAGGACCCTGAGTGTCCAGGAATGAAGTATCATCGGGGCGGGGCAGGTGGGAGCCAGAGTCCTGGGGGCATCTTGGGTTTGGGGACCAGGGCGCGTGAGGTAGAGGGTGGAGCCACTCCAGGGCCTGGTGATTGGCCCTCGGTGGGGCCAGTTATGGTATCTTCTCCGGGTGGACCACACTGGGCAGGGTAGGGGGTGGGGATTCCGTAGGGTTGAGTTAGGGTTCAGGAGCTGGGGCCTGGGACCACACTGGGGCGGAGTCTCCTCAACACACAGAGTTGAGCCACCTCGGGGTCTGCGAGCTGGAGGAGGGGTGCAGCCAGGGTGGGTGAGGGCTTACCTGGAACTGCACGTAGTCCCAGCTCTCCTCTGCCGCTGTCTCCTCTGGGTGTGTGTGGTAGTTTTGGATGGTTTCCTGCACGAGGTCCTTCACCTTGCGCTCCAGCTGGGGGGTGCCAGTGAGGCTGGGCCCATCAGTTCGCCAGCAGCTCCAGCCCCCTGCCAGGCTGACTCCACCCCACGGGGTCCCCGGGCAGCTCTGTGTCCTAGAACCTAGACGTGTCTCTGTCCCTCCGAATCTCTGTCCCTGCTGCTTTCCCCCGTCTGCCTCTGTTTCTCCCACTATTTCTAGAGGGTCTTTTCTGGGGAGGGGTGACTCCTGTCTCCTCTTTCTTGTGTGTTTCCCTTTGGAGCAGTCCTCTCCCTCTCGGTGTTGGTCTTCCTATGGCTGTCTCTCATTCTGTCTCTGTCTCTCCCTCTCCGTGTTTCTCTGTCCGCCTCTGTATCTGCCTTTCCTCTGTCTGCTCTCACTTCTCTTCGTCTGTGTCAACCAGTTCCCATCCTTTGTTCCCATCTCTCGCCACCCCCATGACTCTCCCGCCACCCTCTTGGCAATGCCACCAGCTCACCCTGACCCGCTGAGTGGAGATGAGGATTCCCAGGGTGATCTGCGTGGCAAACAGGAGCAGCAACAGCCCAAAATACTGGGGTGGGCAGGGGACAGAGGGCAGAGGTCAGACCCCCTCTCCGAGCTGTTCCACCAGAGAGAGGATGGCCCAAAGGGCCCTCATGTGATCACCCCCAGGCTCATCCTAAGCTCGGCAGGTGCTTGTACCCATGACCCGGGCCTCCAGGAAGGCCCAGGAACAAAACCCAGGACCCTTCCCAGATGAGTCCAGCTATGTCACCAGCTGCACACCCCAGACCTTTTTTTTAAAAAAAAAGTTATTTAATTTCATTTATTACTATTATTCTCTAATTTGACCAGAGAGAGACAGAGGGGAAAGGAGAGAGCAAGCCCCTAGGTCTGGGACTCGAACCACAGTTAGCCGTGTGGGAGTCCAGCACCTTAACCATTGTGCCACCTGCCAGCCCCAACCCCAGATCATTTTTTTTCAGAGAGATTTTTGCTATTGGGCAGTGTACTCACCAGAGAGACAGAGATAGAGAGACAGAAAGTAAGAAATTACCCCCCAGGGAAGATGGCCATGCCTCTATCCCTTCTCCTCCATTCTCCTCTTGGGATTTTAGGCATGCATGCACATGGGCCGACGTGAGTATCAAGCCACCAGGTCTGGGACTTGAACCACAGTTGGCCATGTGGGAGTCCAGCAACCTAGTGATTATGCCATCTGCTGGTCCTCATCCCCATGTTTGAGGACACCAGAGAGATAGTGGTTTTAGAGATGGAGGGGGCGGACACTCACCAGGCCCAGAAGGCAGCGGAGTTCCTTGAGGGCCCCCACACAGCCCATGAGGGCAAGGCCCATGGTAAGGATCCCTGAGATGGCCAGGATCTTGGACCAGATCTGCAGGGGCGCGAAGGACAAGCCTGGGGGAGGCGAGAGGAGGTGATGGTGGCCTGGTGTACACAGCTCCACGTGGCCCCGTCTCCCACATAGGCCACCAACCAGGTAGGCAGAGTGTCCTGGGGCCTCACTCTGGGCTCCTGGCAGCCCTTTCTCTGGTCTCTCTTTCTCTGGGACTCTGTCCTTGCCCAACCCAGAGTTTCTGTCTCTATCCTTTTGGGCCTTTCTCCTCCTCTTTCTGGGTCTCTGCCTTCTCTCTTTCTGGGCCTGTTTCCCATTCTCGGGGTTCTGTCCTCTCTCTCCCCAAGTTTGTTTACTTTTGTCTGCCATGAGACAGAGGCACAGAGTCCCACACCATGATCGGCCACCAGCCTCTGCCAGCATGGGTTACAGGCATACATGGCACCCGGCGTGCACAGGGAAGCCTTGGGACTCAAATCTGGGACCTTCTCACGTGGTCCTGCATTGCAGAGCTCGGTGTTACCCTGTGAGGGTTCCTGAGATGGCCAGGGTCTTGGGCCGGATCTGCAGAGGGGTGAAGGACAAGCCTCCGTTTTGCTCTCAGGGTCTCTTTCCTCCTTTAGCTCCTCCTCAACCCCAATCCTTTCAGCCCATCCCTCGTTCTGTGATCTTGGCTCAGTCACCGACCCCTCCGGAGCCCGAGGGGATGACGGTAAATAAATAAATAATTCTTTTTAAAAAATACGAACAATTAAGATTTTGCTAATTCGGGCTGGCTCCCCGGCACAGTGGTAATGTGTGAGAAGAGAAGCTGATTCCATGCGGTGACTGAGGCCTGACGCCTCCGCCTGGTCAGCCTGAAACATGCTGGGCACACACACGCGTGCCCGGGATCTCACGGACCGGAGGACCGGAGGAAGGGGATCGCGGCGTGCCCAGGCCCTGCGCGGGTGCTCAGCTCTCTCTCATGTGTGCGCACACACGCTACCATGAATATTACTAATAAAAAAACAGACAAAATATTTTGCTGGTTATTCCATTATCCTTTCCCTATTTTTATTAATGTCATTGCTGCTCTTCCACTTCCTGGCTGTGTGACACTGACAGGGGACTTTCCCTCTGACCTCTGAGCAGGGAAGGGAGGGTTTGTGGGAGGATCGAATGAGCACCAGCACAAGATCGGACACAGAGGAAACGCCTGCGAGGTGGCCGTGGCCATTGTCATCATCGTCACTGCTGGTCCGTCCAGCCCTTTGCCACGCGGGCTCGAGGTGCCCCGCAGCCGCAACCGCGAGCGGGTGGCTACAGCCGGAGACCTGCTTTGGGAATCGGGCACTTTGGGCTCCCAGGACAAGGGAGACCCCAGGAGGTGGCTGAGAGGGAGGCCAGGCCCGGGGCTGCTGCAGGAAGGCCCTCCCTGCCTGCCCCAGCCCCCCTCACCCACAAAGGACACAAAACTGGTCTTGTCGATGAGAATCCAGATGCCGAAGCAGAAAATGAGGCCGCCCAGGACCTGCGGAGAGGACAGAGGGGAGAGCAGGCGGTGGGCAAAGCAGGGTGTGCGGTCCAGGGCGGCCGCGGGGCAGGGGCAGGGGCAGGGCAGGGCAGGGGCAGGGGCAGGGCTAGGAGGCCATGAGGAGACTCACGAAGAAGAAGAGGTTGAAGACGAAGAGCAAGTACTTGGTGAGACTGAGGCAGCTCTCCTGGGCCGACATCTTCGCCTAGAGGGAGAGCGACCAGCTCCAGAGAGCCGGCAGAAGAGGTGCTGGCACGGGGTGACAGGCAGAAAGACGGGCCGGAGAGAGGGAGAAAGCAAGGGCACCGAGAAAGAGGAAGTCCCGGGGCGGCCCCTCCCCCCTTCAAGGAGGGGGCGCTCTTGTTCCGGTCTCCCTCACCTGCCCCAGTGGGGCGCTGCGCTGGTACCTGAGGGGCCCCAGAACCTGTGGGCACCGGAGACACAGGGGGCATTCCCCTCCCGGTCGCCATGGCTCAGGCTGGGCATCCGCAGGGGTTCCTGGGCCGCTTGCACCCACCTCTGGACACTGGGACCCCCAGCCTGACCCTGGACAGCAGCCGACCTCACAGACACTCTGACCTCATGGCTTGCCAAGCTCTGCCACTTCTGTACCCAGCTCTGCCCTGGGTCTCTGGTCCCCCTTCTCAGGGTCTCTCTCTGGGTCTCTGTCCCTCTTTCTTGGGGTGTGTGTCACCTGTTTCTGGGTCTCTGTCCTCCTCTGTGTGAATCTCTGTCCCTCTCTCTGGTGTATGTCAACTGTCTCTGGGCCTCTATCCTCCTCCCCGTGGATCTCTGTCCCTCTGTCTCTCTAGGTTAGGGTTAGGCACTGTCCCCTATCTCTGGGTGTCTGTCACCCTCTCTGGGTCTCCGTCCCTTGCCCAGCCCCTGCCCTTTCTCAGGGCCTGCAGCCTATTTTAGACTAGGGTACTCCCACCTGCTGGGGGCAGGGGCTGGCACAGGGAAGTGAGAGTGCTCAGGCCTGAGGTGGGACGGTCCCTGGAAGAGGGGAGGGTGGTGCGTGCCTGTCTCCCCCTCTCGCCCCCCCCCAACGCCCTGCGGAAGCCAAGCCTGAGGCAGAACTTCCTGTATCTGCAGTGAGGCCTGAGGGAGGAGCCCCGAGGTCGAGGTGGAGGTTGGTGGGGCCTCTGCAGCCTCTGCAGGTGTCCCCATAGGCCCCGCCTCTTGTCCGTTTTGGGATTTTCCCCCCAACACAGTTACCCACCCCGACCCTGGTGAACCCCACCGCATGAGGTTCCAGCTTTCACTTTCTTCTGAGAGATCTCGTTTACTTTTGTGTGTGTGTGCTCCCAAAAAAGACACAGCGACAGAAAGGGAGAGGAGAAAGCACCGCACATGGGGAACAGTCACGCCACAATCCATTCTTCTCTACCTCCCCCTCCTTTCGAGATGTTAGGTGTGCACGCACATGACCCAGCATGTCTGGGACTCAAACCTGTGTCAGCCATGTGGGATCCCGCTGCCTTAACCACCCAGCCATGCGGCCGGCCCTAACCACTATTCTCTAAATCCTGAGTGGCAGTCAGCTGTCCCCGGGATCTCGCCGGGAGCCACTCCACGTCCCACACAGAGCTCAGTCTCCCCACATGCCTCCCGCTTGCGGGTCTCCCATCCGAGGCAGCCCTGCCATCTGCCTAGTCACTGAACCCCAGGGGCGCCCGCAGTCAGACCTCTCATGCTCCTGGCTGGATCCGGCCCCAGATTCCTCCTCAGCCTCTCCTCTCTCCTTGTCCCCACAAGGCCCCAGAGGGCTCCTTCCGAACCCCAGCCCTGGGTCACAGAGGTCAGTGCCCCTCCCCACCACCTCAGTTTGCATCTCCAACTCCACGCTCTGCACTAAAACACATTCCCAGCTCGTACACTTCCCTCCTAGGCTCACATTGTCTTCTCCAAAAATAACTAGAGCTGTTCACACGGATTGACTGGTGTCCCCGCCCCCAAATATGCTACATCCTTATCCCCAGAACTTGTAAATGTGCTCTTATTTGGGAAAAATGTGTGTGTGTGTGTGTGTGTGTGTGTGTGTGTGTACGCGTGCTCTGGCAGGTGAACAACACTAAGATGAATTGGAGCATGGGACCAACAGATGGCAGAATGGCTATGTTGCTGGACTCCCATATAGTCAACCACAGTTCGAGTCCCGGACTCGGTGGCTTAAACTCACGCTGGGCACGTGTGTGTGTGTGTGCCCAAGATCCCGAGAGGAGAATAGAGGAGAAGGGATTGCGGCGTGGTCATCTCCCCTGGGGGGTGATATCTCGCTTTTTGTCTCTCTGCCTCTCTCTGTCTTTCTGGCAAGTGCACACGTCCTATAGCAAAAACCTCTGGCGGGGAGGAGATGAATTGAGGCTCAGAGCCAGCAGGTGGTGTGGTGGTTAAGAGTGCTGGACTCTCATATGGCTGACCTCAGTTTGAGTCCTAGACCTGGCAGCTTCCTTTCTCACTTTTTCACTCTATTTCTTTCTCTCTGGTCAAATTAAAATAAATAAATAAAGTTACATAAAATAATTATTTTTTTAAAAAAAAGATAAATTGGGACTGGGAGGTGATATGGTGGTTAAGGCGCTGGACTCCCACATGGCTGACCACGGTTCAAGTCCTGGACTGGGTGGCTTGCTTTCTCACCCCCCCCCCTCTCTCTCTGACTGCTCTGTCTTTCTCTGGTCAAAGCTTTTTTTTTTTTAATTAATAATAATAAATACAATTAAAATAAAAAATTAAGATGAACGTAATTAAGTTAAGGATCTCAAGATGAGATCATCCCAAGTTATCCAGGTGGGCCATGCCAAATGTCCTTCTTTTTTTTTTTTTTTTTTTTGTAC